TGTATCCGAAGCTCTTAATATGATTGCTCATATTTCAAGCCATCTTTTTCCCGGCCCCTTGCTTTGGAGCATTTTCATCAACCGGCCCCATTCCAAACTAATTGAATAGCCCTGTCATATATCAACATCATTACTCTCAACCAGCAGCGGCCTGAACCCCTGTTGATGAACGATGTGTCAATAAAGCTTTGGTTTGGTTTTTGGGCAGCACACAATGTCTGGGTGTCAGCTGCTGTTTCACTTTTAGCTCTGCCAGATTCCCTATCCTCCCCACGCCCAGCTGGGGATACTGAACTCATTCAAGAGTTGTGTAATTAACTGGAGTTTAATTAAAGGCCAATTCTGAAAAAAGGCAGACAAAAAGGCAAATTTAAAGAGACTTGTAAAATGGAAAATTGAACGCTTAACAAGCTCTGTATCACCATTCAGAGACTTAACATGGCAGTGAGCATGTTAACAATTTTGCGGTTTCAGTGTTACTGTTACTATAAAGTAGAGATTCTATAATTGAAACGGTATCAAAATCTAACTCATTTAAAGCTAGTTCTCAGTCACACCTTCAACTTTTTATACATCCATGACAATTGTTTGCTTTAGTCCATGAAATCTGTGGGTTTGATTATGCATTATTTAGTGATTAAAGCTACATTAATATTTTCTTATGTTCTGTTATGAATCGCATATTAAGTGTATTATTTATTACCAAATGTAGTAATTGGCATAGTTTGCGCAAGTTAAGTTTTGACCAAACAGTGAAAGTTTCTCATTACTTGTGTTAACTCAGTGAGAAACAGGAGCCTGTCTCCCCTCACTCAGTCAGCTAATTGCCCCGCAGGGAGTCCAAAAAGCCACAAGCTGCTTCTCCCTGTCATCACTGGACAAACTGGGTCCAACACATCTATACTTTGTGTTAACATTGAACACTAATAGTATAGTTTTAAAAAAAAAAACTGAAAAGAAAAAGCCAAACTAACTTTGTTGTGCTATACGTTTAAAACCTTATTTAAATATTATTAAATGAGTGTACTTTGCTGTTAATGATCCAAATAGAGTGGTGCAGGTATGACGTACTTGTTTTAAGCCAAACTGGGAGATGGCATCGCAAACATATGGTATTTCTTCCTTGGGTTTTCGGAAAACAAGATCGATATCAATACTCGATTCTGATTGGTTAATTCAGAACACGTGACACATTGTTAATCCAGAACAGACAGACCGCTTTCAAGAGCCGCTTTCACAAGTACTTTGCCGGGATATTGGGAGTCGAGTCGTTAATTTGTTTAGTATATGGCCGTGTAATAAGCACGGCTTGGTCATTATGGGGAAAAGAACACCCTTCAGGCTCATCAAGATCCCTCCGCTTCGCGTTGAGCTCTCTGATCAGCCTGTCGGGTGTTCTTTTCCCCATAATGACCGCCTCGCTGCACGTTATCCCTTACTTAACACCACTTTATGATTCTTGATGTCAAAAAAGCCTTACATTAGGCTATGAAAAAATACAACATCACGGTCAGATAACTTCATTTCACCACCGCTAAGCTAAAGGCGGCTAATGTCGGCGTCATGATGTTTAGTAGTTTCATTTGGTCACTTGCTAGTAACCACCGTTTCTAAGACACTCAAAAGCTTCAGACTTTCACCAGTGGGGTATTTACTGACACATTTTCTGTTGTAGAATAGATTCCAAAAACATCTTAAGCTTGTATTAACCACAGATGTCATTTGAGGCATCTAAACAAAACTAAAACATAAGTAATTGACTTCAAGATAAGGCGGAAGCTTAAATGCTAACTCATTTCCGGGTTTAGGACTCATTCATGCACCACTCTATTGGTTTACAGTTTTGTTTAAAGTTAACTGCTATTTTAAGTTTAAAATAATGATCTGTACTTGTTTTAAATCTGGCAAAGAGCGTCATGTTTTTCTTTTTGCTGAAAATAGTGTTTAAATGACGCTTGTATGTTTTAGATACGTTTCAAATGTTTCAAATGATAGCCATCAACGAATGAGCCGTAGCTATGTTATGGAGACAATAGCAAAAGAAAAGCTAAACATAAAGAATGTGATATTGTGTTTGTTACATAAAGACATGTTTAAATTCAATCACTATACAGATCTTGGCAATCGTCATGCAGAGTAGAAATCTCTCAAGTGGTGAAAATGACAGACAGAACCACCCAACCATTACTTGTCCTCTGCATCCAAAATTACAATATTGAGCTAAAAAAAACAACTATATAAAATGTGACCTGTAAAAACCAACTTGGCAGAGGTTAAAGGTGGAATAATATGACAACCCCACCCGATTAAATGAGTTTAGAGGATCACAACTTTCAGCAAATGATAAAAACATGATTACCATCTGCGCCTAGAAGAGCTCTTTCTCTGCCAAACCTTTTGATGAGAGTTCTCCAACAGCTCCAGCAGATGTTGTGGTGTGTTGAGCTGAACAGCAGACATTTCTCTCCTGTTGAGAGATTGTTTCCATTTGGAATCGAAGAGAAGGTTCAATTGGATTTGCAGCAGTGAGCGCAGCACCGTTCAGATCAGTTACAACATCAACACCTCGTTCTCTGCACAGAAGTAGGCTACCTGTGAGGGCCACACTACCCTCCTCATGGGACACACAGGCATTTAAAGGTTGGACACTTGACAGAAACAATTTTTTTTCAGAATACTTTATTCATCCCGGGAAAAATTGGGTTTAATGACAGTATAGTTGTGTAGTATAAGAATAAAATAAAAATAAATACATGTTTTCTATAGATATTTATATAAAAATGAATAGTAAAATGTAAGATACAAAAAAGAAATAATGATAAAATAAATATTAAAAGTTAAAGGGGACCTATCATGCAAAATGCACTTGTTGATGTCTTTTATACATAACTATGTGTCCCCGGTGTGTCGGGCAACTCACGCAGCGTCAGAAAATAAAACCCTCTCTCTTTTCCTCCGTACCCAAATCTCTAAAAACGGGGCTACAACGAAGTTGATCCAGATTTGCGTCCGATATGACGTAATATCTGAAATGTGGACCCACGGGCCAATCAGAAACGTTGCTATCAGAAACAATGCCCGACTGTTTTGGACGTAATATAGTCGGTGTTTACATTAGCATCGCTAACACTCAGAGCTAATCTGTACTGGAGAGCATGTGTGTGAAGAAGCAGGAAATACAAAGGAACTCACCTTGTGGTATAACCGGCAAGAGAGAAAGCCTTTGAGCTCCAAACTGTTTCAGAGATAATCCTTGATAATCCATGATATGGCGTTTCATCACCGCAGTATTTAATTTAGACAGTAGCTGCCGGGTCCCGCATGAGCTCAGCCCCCTCCTTTTACCAACATTTTTTTTTTTTTTAAAGCTTTATACCCGAATCAGCACTTTTGAAACAGGAAGTGAAATGGAGGTATATGAGGCATGGCTAGAATGGGTGATCTGTTTGGTATATTTGTATATATCTGAGACCTATGCTATTGCCTAAAAATAACATGATAGGTGACCTTTAAAGTAAAATGCCCAATACAATATACAATAAAATAAGAAATATATAAAAATATAAGAAGTTCAAGTAAAATGTCCAATAAAATACCTTTCTTTTTAAAATTATATAAATAATAACATATAAAGTAGAATGTCGAATAAAATATACAATAGATTCAAATATTTATATAGATATGAGAAGTTCAAATGCAGTGACTTTAATTTCTTATTTTTGCAATATTATTTTTAAAGCTTGCCGCTTGAAACAACATATAATTTATATAATTCCCAAAAAGTTACATGATTATATGACTATAACAATTCACAATAACAAGTAATTTAAAATGTATTTCTATGTGCTCTATGTTTTTCAGCACTGTGTAGCACATTTCCCTGTGAAAGTGACATTTACCACCTGACGCGCTCAGCAGGGAGTCGGTACATTATATGAAGCAACGCATCAGCTTCTTCTCATCCGTGTCCCTTTTGTGTCAAATAAGAGAGAGCCGTTGATTCTGGAAGTGCTGCTCCTTCAAAGCAGCCTCCTTCACGAAGAAGCTGGCATGACCTTGTTTCCTTGGGAGTAAAAGATACAGAAAGCTGGAGGGGCTGGGCGAGGAAGAGGAGGAGGAGGAGGGGTGTAGGAAGGAGGAAGAGGGGGGAGCATAGGGGAAGAGGTGGGGTAACTTCAAAACCCACATCAAAAGGAATAAATAATTGTTTCTGCTGGTTTTGTTGTTGTGATACGGATCGTCAGAGCAGCAAGTGGCGAGCAGGAAGCTTTGATTTGAGGCAGCCTTCCTGGAGAGGGCTCCTTCTGTCGGAGAGAAGCGGGCCGCTGATTAAAGTCCTGTTTGTTTTAATCTTCTCTTTTGCCCATGGGGGGTCCACATAGAGAGAAAGAGATCCTGCTTTGGTGCTTTCTGCACTGTAAAAAAACGGTAAAAATCTGGCAGCTGGTGCTTCCAAAAACTTACCGTCAAATTACAGTGAAATACCCTAATTTCAATAATGGGAAAAAACCGTAGATTCACAGTAAATATAATGAATTTCCTTTACAGAGAAACACTGTTATTTTACAGGTATCTTCCCTTGTTTATTACAGACATAATTTAGAGTTAAGCATGTAAAAACTGTTATTTTACAGTTTTATCCTAAATTATTACGGTCAAACACCTTCAATAAAGTGACAGAACTTAAAGTTCAGCAGTGAAACACTGTTATTTTACAGGTGTATCTGCTCTTTTTACAGTCAATAACCTTCAATAAAAGTACAGCACTAAAACTTCTACGGGCAAAAAACCCGGTCAAATGACTGAGCAGCAGGCTGCCAAACAAAAACCATAACATTAAAGTAAAAAAACTGAAATAAAGTGCAAAAGCAATTAATATACAGGAATTGTCCTTAAAGATTTTACAGGAAAACACTTTCCTCTCTTTTCAAAATCCATTGTCTTAAAATGTTACATTCAAATACCTTAAATAAAGTTCTGATGAGAAACTGTTTTTTACATTTTTTTTATTAGATTTGTATGATCACCAACATAAATACAGAACCTAAAGTTCTACAGCTAGAATACTGTTATTTTACAGCTTTTTTCTAACATTTTCCAATCAAACAGGCTCAACAAAATGACATCACAAAATGTTCTGTAGGAAACAATTACTCTGAAAACTTATATATATATAAAAATATTTGTAGAATTATAGAACAACTAATGAATACAGCATTTCATATTTAAACATCATACTTATAAACAGTAGAAACAAAAAGTAAATAGAATTTTTTAAAGATTACTTTGAAACATTCTCAACTGAAAATAACAAGATTTACAAAATGGCGACATATGTTCACATTGTCCATTTTGAAGGAGCAGTGTGCAGGATTTAGTACGTCTAACATTGGGGATGTAGGTTCCAACCAATGAATTACTTGTTCACTCACCCTCCTATCCAAAGTCTGTAGGAGAATGTATGTTGGCTGCAAAAAACATGAGGCCCAATCATGTTTCCTCTGTCCATTCTGCGCTACTGTAGACGTGGCAGTGCAACCTTATAGAGGACAAACAGATCAGAATCAGAAACGGGTTTATTGCCAGGTAGGTTCACACGTATGAGGAATTGCACTAGGTGTCGTGGTGCATACAAATAAAAAAAAGTACACAGATAGCAAACTATATTAAGAACACTAATAAAAATGTAGTAAGATAGCAATAAAATAAAGCAGTAATTTACATCGAAATAGAATGCAATAAATTATAGAATATAAAATATGTGCAGTAAGCAATATTTAAACATTGCATTATTTACCATCCTGTGATCTCCATTATGTAATGCATAGAGTCTGCGTTGTGGCTGAGGTAAAGTGTCAGTGGGGAGGAGCGGGCCTTGTTGAGGTGGAGAGAGGTTTTGGTCCTGATGGAGAGAGGTTCTGGTCCTGATGGAGAGAGGTGTTGGTCCTGATGGAGAGAGGTGTTGGTCCTGGTGGCGAGAGATTTTGGTCCTGATGGAGAGAGGTTTTGGTCCTGATGGAGAGAGATTTTGGTCCTGATGGAGAAAGGTTCTGGTCCTGATGGAGCGCGGAGGGGAGTGAACAGTTTGTGTCCAGGGTGGGAGGGGTCGGCCACTATCTTCCCGCCTCAGGGTTCTGGAGGCATGCAGGTCGTGGAGGGATGGCAGATTACAGCCGATCACCTTCTCTGCAGAGCGGATGACACGCTGCAGCCTGCCCTTATCCTTGGCTGTGGCTGCAGCGTACCAGATGGTGATGGAGTATCCTCGGCTGTGCTTTTTTGGTGAGGGAGCAGATGCTCTGCTCCCGTTTGAGGTCCTGGGCGATGATGGTGCCCAGGAAGCGGAAAGATTCCACAGCAGTTACTGGGGAGTCACACAGAGTGATGGGGGTGGGTGGGGCTGCGTTCTTCCACAATCATCTCCACTGCCTTGAGAGCGTTGAGCTCCAGGTGGTTTTCCCCACACCAGGTCACCAGATGGTCCATCGCCCACCTGTAGGCAGACTCGTCCCCACCAGAGATGAGTCCGATGAGGGTGGTGTCGTCTGAACTTCAGGAGCTTGACAGACTGGTGACTGGAGGTGCAGCTGTTGGTGTACAGGGAGAAGAGCAGAGGGGAAAGAACGCAGCCTTGAGGGGAACCGATGCTGATGGTCCGGGAGTCAGAGAGGTTTTTCCCCAGCCTCACGTGCTGCTTCCTGTCAGACAGGAAGTCTGTGATCCACCTGCAGGTGGAGACGGGCACGTGCAGCTGGGAGAGCTTGTCCTGCAGCAGAGCCGGGATGATGGTGTTGAAGGCGGAGCTGAAGACCACAAACAGGATCCTGGCATAGGTTCCTGCTGTGTCCAGGTGCTGGAGGAGGAAGTGAAGTGATAACTATTAGTAAACCATAATGATGGATGTTATTATCAGCAGCTGCCAATAGATCCCCTACATCTTGTATGGTGGACCTTTGAAGCAGGGTTACACAAAACACACACAAAATTGTAAAACAGTTATTGAGAGCATCCCAAGGGCATTGATCCTATGCTAAACCTTCCAGTACACCAACTTTCTAATACCTTAAAAAGGACAACTAGCCGTTGGCACGAATGTAATGCTTCAGCTTCCTACAACTTTAAAGCTGTGTGGACTCTATGAAGAGTCGTTCATATTTTCTCATTATTTCATAAGTTTAGAAGGGGTAACAACAGTTACCTTTTGTTAATTTTACCTCGAGCCAAACTTGTGCGACTTGTTTCTGAAATCCCTTTCTCTTAAAGTGAATACATAAAATAACTAACCACTGGATAGGGTTAACCCTAACCCATATATATTTTTGTATTTTTTTTTTAATTTTTTTTAAAAATATATATCATATAGCACCAAATTGCAACTAATTTATATCTACGGTCACTTTTCACATTGAACATGAGCTCTTTTATTAAATAAACTAAACGCTTTCATTTTAAGTTGAGTTTAGTGTTTTTGACCCTAAGAAACACTGATGCATTAATCAATAACAATAATCCACAGCTCCTCTCTCTGCTCCAGAGGATTTAAAGAATATATTAGGGAACGACCGATATGGCTTTTTCAAGGCCGATACCGATACCAATTATTAGTAATCAAGGAGACCGATAACCGATATTTGGAACCGATATACATTTGCAGTAAAAAAAAAAATCTTGGTGTCAAAATGTCGAATAACACAAACTCCAACACAACTTATTTGAAATGCATTTAAGCCTATATTATGTTTAATTAACTTTTAAACATCTTACAACTGGTTTCCTCTCTGTGCCCTTTTCTTTAGTGCAGTCATCTGCAATGAGTTAGAGAGAGAGACAAGAAGTGGGGCTGCAGGCTGACATGCTTAACTAACAATAATGCTTCATTTATTATATCAAAACAATGCCTGTCTATCTAGCATAAAATCCCAATAAGCTGCTAGCAACTACAAAACACTAGTTCTAGCTAATGTTTTGCAAACTATTAAAAGTGAGGCTATTACAGTAGACCTAACGTTAGTCTAGTAGCCTCACTTCTAATATTTTGCTAAACATTTGCTAGATACATGTTGGCTAGCTAATGAGCTTCACATATCAACCTGAAAAACTGCAAGGCTCCACTCGCAGCCCCTCCCCCCCCCGCACCACAGTTACTCCGCTGCGAGACGCTGCACGCACCCCCAACTCTGACTGACTTCCCGCGTCCCTGTGTAACTGGGAAACTGATAGAATTGGATCATAAGATCGTGGTGTTTTTGCAACTTCAGCATAGGGGATTGGGATGTTTATTGAACTTCGGTTTAACACATGTATGGCTCTGCCGCTCAGCGCTGCTGCTTGCTTCAGTCTGTGTCCTTTCGCACCTGCCTGTAATCTTAGAAGGTCCCGCCTCTCTGGCTGTCTCCCGCCCAGAAAATCTTCAGTAATAGCCTATCAGATAGCGCTGTGGGCGGGACATTGCTCGTGTACACAGAGTGGTGACTGCAGCCAGAGAAACGGCCGCATCAGAGCCAAAGTTTTATCGGCAATTTGATAAAAAAAAGGCCGATACTGATAATCGGTCAAATGCGGAATATCGGCCCCGATAATCGACCCCTAGAATATATCAGCAGTAAACCTAGGGGAAACACTGACATTCAATATTATGTTAGAGACAAGTTAGTTATTACTCACATATCAAAGTCTTTTCATCTGCAAGATGGACGAATAGCTGGGTGCTGCCTGGAGAGACTGATGAGGAGTCACCGGCTGGCTTCTGCAGCTTTCCACACAAAGCCATCACATATTCTGTTCCATAGTCTTCACTGTCCACTGGTGCTCTGTCAAAAGAGTGAACATCACAGCTGTCATGGTAACCCTTTGTTACACAACATACAACCAACATGCATCAAAAGTGACCCAAATTAGTTTAAATTGTAAATATCTTTGCAATAAATTACCTCCTCAATTAACCTGTTTTGATCAACACCAATTCTAATTTTCATTTGAACTTTCTTACTTTTTAAAATAAAAATCATGTTTGTATCACTACACTTCTAAGGCACAACATGGGTAAACAATTATCCGTATTATTTCCTATGTTATTCCTAGTGTTTCTTTAAATACATTGTTTTTGATTACCACAAATCATTATTTCTATTCTCCAGTTCTAATTGATTAACTAAAATAGTTTATGCCAAGTGTGATACAAATGCAAAAAAATAAAGATACTTTAATGATAATTTTGTTAAAAATAATAATTTTAGCAGAGATTTGGACCAAGCATGTATGATGTAGTAATACAACAACTATTTTAGTTCACACAGTGTGACATTAGCTAGTCATGTTAGCTTGTAATATATAGAGCAGAGCTAACTAGCAAGTTAGCCAAACGTTAGTGGTTAGCAGTTTATGCTATGATAGCTGTTGGCTACTGAACATTAACAAACTGGATTCCGCAGTAAAAATGCTGTGAAACTTTACAATAAGATTGGCGACAACACTGTGACACCCTGCTGCACGTTTATGTGTAATCGTCCCGCGTTGGAGACGAGAGGATGGCGGCAGCACTGCAATAAGCTGTAAGGTAACGTTAGCAGCCACCTTGTTAACCTGTATAGCCCGATTGTCCCGCCGGTGGGACATCTTGCAAGAAACAGCATCTCAGGACTTCTTAAAATGTACTAACAACCTATTAATGATGCTTACCCACTTAACGGGAAGAAACTCAGCTAACTGACGATATTAACCATTTTTAACTAAACGAAACACAAGTCTAACAGCTAACGGGGCTAACGCTACTTTAGCACATAACTGGCAAAAGCGATCTTTTTTACTTCATGCTATCTGCACAAACGTATCATATGAAAGCTGAGATTCCACAGATTCCCTTAAAATATATGTCTCATCACTCAAAACTCACTGAACTAGAAGAAGAAACGTAACCTTAAATACACAATTAAACATTCACAAACTAAGGATTATCTAAATACATGTTTAACTCCATTACAGTTGCAGGACTCACCAGATCTCAAGTCTTCTGTTCTCTGTGGACGTCCCGATGCTCATATTTAACGTGTAGATGTAAAACTATCCCGATATTAGTCCATAAACTCGTGAGCAGACATACAGACCGCTCTGTAGCTCCGCAGGAGAGCCGCTCAAACTGACGTGGAAGTTTCAAATTGGATTGAAAGGCGCGGACAGTGCTCATTGGCAGGTTTTTTCGATTACGTTTATATCAACCAATCAGGAGTGTTGTGGACTCATTCCAATCCTGCTTGTCTTGTCTGCCGTTGTATGGCTGGATTCCATTTTAAGTGCCGTAGCTTTTTACATACATTTTACGTTTTTTTTATTTGACACTTTTTTTTTACAGTTAACTATTTTAGTATACTATGAAAACTACTTTATTTACACAAAATCATTTTTGGGTATTTCTGCAATATATTACATTTTTTGTGAAGATGTATACATTTATTTAACATTTTAGAGATGTTTTATAATAAGATTTATTTTTATTCTACAACAGTACAGAATACAGTTATTTTATTTTTTTTTACATTTTGTTACATTAAATTTAAGGTTTTACTGCAAAAAAAAAAGAAAGTTGCCTTCATTTTACATGCAGTAAAATTATGTGTATTTTATGTGTTTTTACATAGAATTCAATGTAATTTAACATTCAAGACAATTAAACAATGGAATTATCCTGTAAAAAAACGATAATTTATCATCAAACCAATTTACAGAATAAAACCTTTATTTATTTTTAAATACAAGTAATTTACTGTATTTTTATGGTTTGTACACGTAATATAGAAAAACAAGAAAGGTCTGTAAAATAATACAGTAAATTTCTGTGAAAAAACTTTTTTTTTTTACAGTGTGGGGACTAATTCCTTCTCCTTTTGGGTCCTGAAAGGGAGGGAACGTGTGCAGCAGGGGGAAGTGACAGGTCGGAGTAAGGAGGGGTTTTAG